GTTGACGCTGAGAAGGATTGGGATTTGAAGTGATGAATATGAAGTGATGAATATGAAGTGATGAGAATTACGGTGATGAAAAGGTATGTGGTGGAAGACAGGAATACGTTGAAATGTAAGAGGTGCAACAGTTGGGATGATAGCAAATAGATACCTCGAAGGTGGCTACCCATTCTCTCGATTTTCAACCATAAAGGACTCTAAGCATAATTAATATTGAATCAAACCAAATCAATATGTTAGAGCAAAGTGAGAAACAAATCAGAGAATTAGACCAAACAAAAATAGCGAATAGCTCCAGCTGCCTAGTAGATTAGAATGGTAAGTCCGATATTTGCCAATTTGGGCTACTTTGGCACAAACACATAATAACCCACTGCACAGGACAATTAAATGACATATAAAGGTGCAAATCTTGTTTAGGATCAATTCAATCAAAGGTCATACCTTCAAGAGTCCATTTCACAAATCAAGCCTTTTGCCCGTGATATGATATAGTGATGTCACATACTATGTCTCTACTTGACGAAAGACTACTATCTTGAGGCACAGTTGTATATATGAGACATCTGGGCTATACAAAGAATCTGCTCAGGCTTCTCATTGTGCGTCTGTGAACCAAGTTTGCTTTTAAAACCATCTCATATTGAATATAGACATAAAATCAAAAGATAAAAAGAACGCAATATAGACATGAGAGCTATGGAGAATTCCCAATATAACGACTACTGAGAATAACTCCATACTATACCCAGCAAGGTGATCATCGATAACACGTGGTATGCAAGTTCACCTAGTTACACAAGCTCTGCCTTTATTTTTCTCAAGGCAGAGACAAGAATAACTTCTTCAGCTTCGGATAGTTAGGCGTACCCAACCCAGTAGCCGGATCCCATCTACACGGTGCGTCAGTAAGAAGTCCATAGTCAATGTAGAAATTTGAACTCACCCTGGAATAGCACTGAAGCCATCCGTATTACATCCAGCACTGGTACCGTTTGTGATATCGTTAAGAACCTCCGGGTGAGCGTAAAGCACGGGGTTCACGAAACCAATAGGGCCCTTGCCCTTGGCCAGACGTTCCTCGTTAATCTACCAAGAGAACCATTAGCACGCAGTAAACAATCTGAATCATAGTTTCTACTTACCAGAGTAAGGACCGAAGCAAACAATGGCGATGACAAGCTAGCGCCATAGAAGTGGTGCAGCTTTCCACCACTGTAAGCGGGGAAAAGGGCACCGTTAGCCGCCACATCAGGATAAGCACGACCAATACGGTTGAAGAGACCCTCGGTCTTGTTAACGTTGACCTCCATCTCGGAGTAGTGCGGATAAGAAAGCTTAGCCTTCTTGAAGTACTTCTCCACGGCTCTCCTTTGATACAAAGGCTGTGGGAAGTAGTTGGAGAAGCCGCCTGCGCTGCTGAAGTTTGCAGCGTCACCACCCAAGTCAGCGTGCATTACGCTCTCGGCATCCTTGATGGTCTGGTCGGCGTAGAGCATAGTGCCTCCGACGGAGGTCACATAGGGGCAGTTTGAGGGGTATTGGGGGTTGAAGATCTTTCCCTCGGGTCCTAGACATCCGTTGGCAGATCCATCGCCGTGGAAGGAGGCAACGCCATAGTCACCAGAGGAGAAGAGGATGGAGTGGCCCTGCAGGCCGAGCTTCAGGAACTCATTGCATTGGCGCTTGGTGTAGGCGACGGGGAGATCGGCTTCTGCTTGTCCGTAGGAGGCGCTGATGACATTGGTGGGCTTGTATACTCCGCATTGAAGCTTGCCTGCTTTTATATGAGCGATCTGATCAATCTGGTTGATGGAAATGGTATGTTACCTTTGTAGCCACCAGGACGCGGGTTGGGGTAGATGGGGTCGATATCAGGGTTGTTGCCTGTTTCACCGAAGGCGCTGTACGTGCAGTAAGACTGGGCTAATTAGCAAAATGAATTTGATATCCGGGATCATATAACTTACACCATCGAGAGCGTCAAGGAAAGTGTTGAAAAGGTTAGTGGTCGCAACCTCTTCAGGTTCGTAAATCTGGTCATCAACCTGGTAAAGAGTCACGGATTGGGGGTAGATAAGCGAATAACTGTCGTCGTTAGCAAAGAACAGAGAAGCAATTTGAGAAAAATCGTCCTTACGCCATGTCAATGTCAATATCCGATTCACCCTGATTCAGCGGGCTGTAATCAGGCACCGAGAAGTTCGCACCATCAATCAAGGCAGGAATAGGATAAGTTCCTTGAGGGATCCAAGGAGCATAGGCTTTATAGTAGAGATCGAGATCCGACTTGGCGAAGTAGTCACCCTGCTCGTAGAGACCAAGCGAGTTGTCCTTGTGTGCCTTTGTGGCATCTGGGATATTGTACAAGGCCTTAATGCAAGCTGGAGTCATCTCAGTTCCGCATTTTTGGAGATCTGCAGGAAGTGACTTCGCCTTCTCAGAGATAACCGCGGATTTGATAGAGTCATCAGCTTGCACTGTGCCCTTGGAATGAACCAAGTGTGACATTCGCTTCTGCTTGGTGCTCTTCTTGACGATGGGACTGAGCTTGACTCCAGGAGTAATATAGTCAATGTGTGCCTGGATGTGCTCGGGGACATGGTACCTAATAAAACCGTCAATCGAAGGGTCCGAAGTAGATAGGAATCAGCGAGAACTTCTGACTTACTCCTCGCAGCCAATCTTTATGCTAGAAGTGCTGGCATGCTCATGCTCGTAGAACTCAGTCTTAAACAAATCCTCTACTTCCTGCATATAAGCATCAAAAGCTAACCATCCCTTGTTATCGGAGTGTACAATCCGGGACTCATGAATCCCAGAGGATTCAAGCCATCGACGAACAGAGTCAACGGTGTCTTTTGAAGGAGCGAACATCTCATGAACTTCCTCTGCAGACCAATACTGCCCATATCTGGCAGATTTGGGGTCAGAACTATACAAGTATTAGCGATTGGGATGTAGACCATACAAATACACCCATAAGAGTAACTTACACAGCCATGAGATACTCCTCGCCCTTCTCCAAATTGTTTTGAGTAAGACCAATGCGCACAGGCAGCACAGAATCGCGCTTAATGCGCTCGCCTTTCACCCAATCCACATGTTCGCTTCGCTTTTCATGTAACACATGCTTCACTGGTGCTGGGACAGCCCCAGAAAGAGCCGCGATCGCCAGAGCAACGCAAACTTGACGTACGAGCATGTCGAGAAACAATAGAGCTGTAATAATACCCGGCCATCCTGCTGGGAGGGGGAATTTCCCCCTTGATATACACTTGGGGGTAGCTAACAATTGTATGATTGTAACCCTAATTTCCTCATTTGCGATGGTGAAAAAGCACCAAGCCCGGCAATTAAGCCCGGAAGAGTTGATTGGATATAGCTAGTAGTATCATGGCGTTTGAGACAATAAATCCGGGAATCAACGTCCGGCACTAGAGCTCAATATCCCTAGCGGCGGAGATGTCTACTTCGATATCTCTGTGCGGAATAGCCAAAGAGCGAAGTTGGTAAGTCTGGTAATATAAAATGCAGCCATCGCAATTTCCTTGGCTTATTGTGCCAATGTTGTGGGTCATTGCTTGTTATTGCTTGGTTTTGTTATCTCAGGACGCCGCTAGTTTAGTGAGTACCCCCTCGTTAAGCGGAGCTCCGACGGGGTAAGAATCCATTGATGTGACAGCGGTTCATTTTTGGTTGAATTTGACGAGAAGTCAGGAGATTCAATTGGGGAACAAGCAAAAGTTGCTCAGATATTAGAATCCTTCGTTAAAAAGAAGACGAGCATTGGTTCTAGGAATCCTAAATGTGGCAGGTTAGAGGTCTTAGGGCCGGAGCGCAACCAAAAGGGACATTTCTCGGTATTGAGGTCTCGAAAGGTTGAGAATTTAAGATGTTACTCAAAATATGTGTATAATTTATCTAAATCATAAAGGGAAAAACCTGACATCATCATCATATCGAATATCCAACACAGTGGAAACCAATAGCATCTCTTTTTTTTACGGGGGAGAAGGAAAAGGGGAATAGAGACAAAAGACACCGAAAGACGACAACCAGTAGAACAATCTAGTGGTGGAAGAGACGAGTTCCCTGCTCGACGAAGGTGATGCCGAGCTTCTCGGCAGTCTCGAAGACGGGAGTGTCGTTCTGGCTGCCAGTGGGGGCGGCGATGTACTTGACACCTGAGCGGGCAGCACGGAAGACGTTGTCGATGAAGGGGAACTAGTGAAGATAAATTAGCATTTACCACGAGCAAAAATGTGGGTAAACAAAAGAGATTACTTACGAAGGCATCCGATGAGACAGCGACCTCGCCGAGCTTCTCGAGCCAAGCCTCACGCTCCTCCTGGGTGAAGGGAGCGGGGACCTCCTCGAAGACACGCTCGTACTCGACAGTCTCGGCGTCAGTGCGGGGAGTCTGGCCTGAGCAGAGCAAGTCGATGGCGTTGGACTTGTCAGCACGCTTGGTGCCCTGCTTCCACTTGATGCCGATGACGCGCTCGTGGAAGCGCATCCACCAGTTGTCGGCCTTGTCGCCGGCAAGACGGGTGCAGTGGATACGGCTCTGCTGGCCGGCGCCCAGGCCGATGATCTGGCCGTTCAAGGCGTAGCAGACGGAGTTGGATTGAGTGTACTTGAGCGCAATGGTAGCAACAGTCAAATCACGGAGAGCAGCCTCGGGGAGAGAGGTGCCGTTCTTGGGGGTGATGACGGTGTTGAAGGTCTTGCTAGGGGAGATGACAACGTCGTTGCGGTGCTGGGTCAGCTGGACACCGTACAGAGTGCGGGTCTCCTCGGGGGCTGGGGTGTAGTCCTCGTCCATCTGGAGGACAAGGTACTTGCCGCCCTTCTTCTTGGAAAGGATGGCCAGAGCCTCGGGTTCGTAACCGGCAGCGATGACACCGTCAGACACCTCACGAGAGATGATCTTGGCTGTGGGGACATCGACGATGTCACTGAGGGCGAGAATGTCACCAAAGCTGGACATGCGG